TTCCTGCCTCCCTCCTACTCCTGCCCTGAGCTGGTTTGGCGTTCACCTTGTGAGTTCCAGGGAGCCAGGGCTGGCTCTGCAGCTGGGACTGAGCTCGTTAGTTTGGTACCTTCTGGGGACCCCGTGTGCTCCCCGAGCGTGGTCTTGGTTTGTGACTGCTGTTATTGCTGCGATATCTGTGGAATCCCCACCCCTTCCTGGATTGTTCGCCGCTGCAGGGATGGCACTTGGTCCCTTTGGCCTCCTCTGGGCTCCTGATGCCCAGAGGGGACTCCGCAGCTTTTTGTCAAACGAGAGACTTAGCTGGCATGAATGTAGTGGCGGCTCTACGCCGAGCGCACCACGTGCATCAGCATGTTTAGTCCTCACGGAGCCCCAGGAGGAGGGCATTGTTTTCCCAGTACTGACGTGGACACTGAGGCACAGGAAGTGAAGTGTCTTCTTCAAGGCTGGGCAGGGAGAGAGCGGAGGAGCCGGGATCCCAGCATTCCAGCTCTAATTGCATGAAGCTCTAACCACACGCAAGCCTGCCTCTCCGGATCCTCCCCACAGCCCTGGGAGGGTTACGGATAAGGGAACAGGCTCCGCGAGGTGAGGTCACTTGCCTGAAGTCACAGAGCAGACTGGCAGTTCATGGACTGTGAGATTCAGTGTTCTTAATGCTGAGCATATTTTGGGACCCCAATAAACATTCAGCTGGGTGGGAATTGAAGTCCTGATGTCAAGGAATCCAGCTAACGTGACCCCCAGCTGGCGAGTGAGCAGTGAGTACCGCCCTGGTCCTCGCCAGCTGGACGACCTCAGGGAGGGTCTGATTACTCTGAGGGGCTGCTGAGAGGAGGGCTACATGTCTCTGTTCCCTGCCTGCCCCCCGCTGTCCCCACCCCCGGCCCTGGGCTGCATTCTCTCCATTGGAGCCAGCTCGCATCTGTCCTTGCGGGATGCCCGCAGCCAGTAACCTCTCCTCTCAGCCACGGTGGCCGACTTTCTTACTCAGGGCTCCGCATCCTGGGGGGGCTCTGCATCCTGGGGGGGCCCCATCCTGTCAGTCGAGAGTTTTCTTCCTGGCCCAGGAAGTTTCCTCCATGACCTGGGACAGGCTGATGGCAAAGTCCTATGTCCCACTGTCTCCCGGCTCTGGCTAAGCTTCTCCTAACGGCCCGTGGCAAACATCCTACGAGGCCGGGGCTGTTTCCCTTTCCCTTGGTCATGCGTCCCCATGCCCGAATACATGGCATTTTTGTTCGTTTGTTTGTTTACTTTTGCCATAAGGTGCTTGTGCTTGCCAGAGAGAGGGGAAGTGAGAAGTCACCCCCGGGGGACGGCCACACTGCATTCCCTTCTCCTCCATTCTCCTCTTGGGATTTTGGACATGTACACACACATGCCCAGTGTGATTTTCAAGCCACTAGGTCTGGGACTTGAATTGCACAGTCAGCCATGTGGGATCCAGCACCTTAATCATGCCATCTTTTGGCCCCCTTACCCTGCCTTTTTTAAAAAATCCTTTAACAATTGTTTTCGGAGAAGAAGATGTGTATCTCATTGTTTTTCAGCTGAGGAAATAAGGCTCAGAGAAATCACGTATCGTTTCTGAAGTCGCACAGCTAGAGACGGGCAGAGCTGGGGATCAAGCCCCATAGGCTGTCTCGGAACCCCTGTTCCCACGTTGTATGCAAAGTAGTCTTTACGTGGCCTAGGCCTGAAGAGGTAACAGCCAAGATGGCCAGGGATCCAGCTCTTTGTGTAGAGTACGAGAAAGAGCTCCTGCTGCCAGTTCTGATTCACGATAACATGCTTGAGCAATGCCTGCTTTCAAAATTGAGCCTGGGCTGGCCCCGTAGTCTAGAGGTTAAGGGAGCCGGATCCCACATGGTCGACTATGGTTTAAATTCGGGCCCCAGCGGCTTGAAAAATACACCTGGTGCACATGCATGTGTGTGCTCCAAATCCCCACAGGGTGGAGAGATGGAGGAGAAGGGATTGCAGCATGACCACACCCCACTTGGGGGGGTGCTTTCTTCCTCCCTCTCTCTCCCCGCTTCTGTCTCTCTTTGGCAAGAGCTTGCACACTTTGGCAATAGGAAAAGAAGAACACAGAGCTCGATTTTTGAAATGCATTGCGGATATCCCCTAGTTCAGGAAGTCTGCGTCAATCCTTTTTGTTAAAGTTGGCTTTTGTGCAGTGAGTTGGCTGAGAGCCCAGATGCCTGCTGGGTGGCTCCGTAGTTCCTATGGACCCTGGCTCGCCTCATGGCCAATGAGTTTGGGCTCTGGAATTGGCTGGGGTTGGAATGCTAGTTTCGCAGCTCACTGGCTGTGGTTAAAAACAAAGGCTCTGAGTTAGGTTCCTTCTATTACTCGGTAGCTGTGTGGTCTTGGACAAGGCGTTTAACCTCTCTGGATCTCAGTGTTCTCAGCTGTGAAGGAGAGAGAACAAGTGAACCCTTCCACAGATGAGAATTAAGATGGCGGGTGGGAGGGCTTAGTGACATCTCTATGGTGAGTGTCCAGGAGTGGTGACGAACAGTGGTCGTGGCTAATGGGAGCACTGACCTTCGTTTGTTCCTCCGGTATGCGCTCTCTCTCAGTCCTGTCTCTGTCCTCTGCCCCCTTGCAGGTAGAACTGCACGTCCACCTAGATGGAGCCATCAGGCCCGAAACCATCTTATACTACGGCAGGTGAGTCCATGGCTGGATGCTCTCCCTCCCAGGATTGGGGTGGGGCCGCAGCTCCCCCCTAGGCCCCTGCAGAATTCCAGTGTCTGCTTCTTCCTACATCCCTGTGGGAGTTGAGCCAGCCCCAGCCAGGAAAGGTGGGCTATGGGGACATGGAGGCCTCACCTCGGAGCAGGAAGCCCAGATCCAACGACTGGGCCTTCTGGGCCTCAGCCTGTTGTCCTGCTGTCCTGTGAGCTAGGCCTTTGCCTGCCCTGGTACACACAGACAAGGATAGACAGTGCAGGGCGTCCCAGGGCTGAAGCAGTCACCATGAGAGCCCGAGGCAGGTGATGTCCCATGCAGGATGTGGGGGACCATGGGCTCGAGTGTTGGGCTGAGACCTCTAGCTGCCTCAGCCCCCTTAATACCTCCTCGCATGGAAGAGGAGGCCATGCTGCCCTCATTTTACTGAGGAGGGAGCATGCTCAGAGAGGCAAAGACATCACCCAAGCTTGATAGCAGAATCGAGGCTTGAACCTGGGGCTGTTGGAGCCCAAGGCTTTTACTACACATAGTGGTGATAGCCTGCTGAGAGTCGTGGGTGAGTGGCCCCCATTGCAGGGCCCATGCCTCCGCATCGTTCACATGAGAACACACTTCTTGGCCTGCTTTTGGGGATGCCATGGGCTGAGGAAACCTCCAGCCCCCCCGAGGAAGGTCCGTCCTCTCCCTCTCAGGCCTCAAGGACTCAGAGCAGCTGCCCCCTTGGGCCCAGCATTTAATAGTAGGGACTCAGGAGACCAGCAGGTCTGGATGCCCCATTTCCTCTGTGACGTTGGCCTGCATAGACTGAGGGCAAGAGGAGGGCCTTCCTCCAGAACTGACCTGGAGACAGGGGCCCCTCCTCGTCCCCCTAGCCCCAGCAGACCAGCCTTCCTCATGTTTGCCCAACGCTCATTTCGCTTGCAGCTGGAAGGACTCGGCCTCTTCCTCACTGCCTTGAAGTTCAGCTCTGGATCCAAATTTGGACATTTGGCTTCATAAACTAGCATTCCCTTCATTTTTAGACACTTGTGCCTTGGGAGAGAATGAGTGATCCTTGGGAGTCTGTCCTCCACTCCCAGGAGTGGCCCTTCCAACTCCCCAAAAGGGCTCCTGCGAGTGCGCTTAGGTCTGTCTTGTCGCACTTCCGGGGAGCCTTCTCTTCCCCAGGGAGCTGCCATGGGTCTCTGCAGTCGGCAGTGTGATAGGTGCATTGGCGCGCGCTGTGGGCCAAGCACACCTGGGAGCTCCTCCAGGACTAAGTCGCTGGCTCCTCACAACAACGCGAGCAGGTGGACTCAGTGCTGTTAGTGCCCCCATTTTATAGACAAGGAAACCTCACAATATATGAGGTAACCTGCCGCCCCGTAAGCACAGGAGGGGGTTTGAACCCAAGTGATCTGGCCCCAAGTCCACAGCCCTGCCCATTACCCTGCCAGTTAGGGTTCAGGGGCAGTAATGCCATGGAGTGCTTAGCTCAGGGCTTTGCACACACGGAGCGCTCCGTCACTGATAGGCACCCACTGGCGGTGTTATTAGTCACCAAAACCCCTGGCGCTGCCTAAGTGGGGTGACGCCTCTTGGCTTATCTCTGCCCGTCCTTTGCCCATGTCGGACTGCCAGCTATTGCCGTGGGGCCCCCAATGAGGTCGTTGGGGTGGAGCCCCAAGATGCGATCTAATCGAGGACTCGTTAAGGGGTCATAGAGCGCTCATTAGTGAGATTGAGGCTGCTGGCATCCAGGGTGGGAGCCGGGAAGGCGCCACCAGCCTGGGAGGGCTTGTGGGATCTCCGCCTCTCACATCACCTAGGTGTGCCCTGCGGGGAGGGTATGGCAGGTGCCAGCTGGAGTTTGCCCTGGGGTCAGCAGAACCAGATACGGGTGCCCACGAAGGCAGGTCAGAGTGGGGCATGGCTAAAGGGGGAGGAGGAGGGAGCCTGCGGCCCTCCTAAAGCCCCATCCAGTCCCCCGTTTCTGTAGACTCTTCCCCTCTTAGCTCCTGTGAGGCTGCCCTTCCTGGGGGCTTCTCCTCCCTGCTTCTCAGTCTCCTTCAGGACCCTGTCAGTTCCTTCAAAGCACACCCATCACCACCCTATCTGAGCCACCACTGTCCCCTGCTTGGACCATGACAGAGGCCTTCTCACTGGCCCCCAGCATCTGCTCTGGCCTCCAGTCTGCTCCCTGGAGCGCTGTAGTTGGCAGCTATCTTAGAACATGGTCTACCTGCTCACGGCCCTGCCTGACCCCCTCCAGCACCCAGACCTCAGGTCACAGCCAGAGTCCCCATGTGGGCCCTAAAGCCCTACCATGCCCCTTAATCACTCTGACCCTCTACTGCTCCTTGCTTAGTCCACACTGGCTGCTTCCCAAACACACCGACCTAGTAACACACAGCTGATGGGTGACTTGCTCAAGGTCGTATGGCTTTGAGGGACAGAGCTGAAACTCAAACCCAGGCCAGGGGCTCTGGAGCCTGCTGTCTTTCCTGTGCGTATCATTGGTTCCTCTCTGGTCTCCAAAATGAGGATATTTTCTGTGTTCTACTGACAAGGACAGAGAGGGCCTCCGAGGGGCAGCCCCTGCAGGATGACATGGGGAGCCAGATGGACTTGGATGCCCACAGCCCGAGCACACCCTCCCTCCCTGGGCTCTCCTGTGGGTATGTCGTCCACGAAAGTGACCAGACAGCACCAGGGCAGCGGCCGAGGCCACCTGGGCAGGAGGGTCACCAAGAGCAGAGCTCGCCCCCGAGGAGCCTCGGCTTTGCCCGCGCTTGGCGGAGGGGCCAGGGCAGCAGGAGCGCCCCTTTCTGCCTTGAGTTTGTGCCCCAGGCGGGAGCTTTCCAGCTCCACGGGAGCAGCTCTGGGGGCCACGTCTTGTGTGAGATGCCAGAGATGTTATGTCCTGTCACACCCAGGGCGTGAACTCCTGGCTTCTGTCCCCCTTTCCCTCTGGGCTCCTCCTCATGCAGTAACCAGAGGAACATTATTGATCGATTGATTGTCCAGCGGGGACGTGTTCTTGAGGGAGAGTGAGAAAGGGGGAGTGTAAGAGAGAGACGGGGGTAAAGTGGGAAAGCACCCCCTCCCCTGGGATGGCCACTCTGCAAACCCTTCTCCATGTCCCTCTCCCACTGGATTCTGGCCACACACGCACATGCACCCTGTGTTCCCAGGCCATGCGTCTGGGGTATGAGCCGCACTGCCAGCCACGCGGGATCCACTGCCCTGACTACCATCCACCAACTGACACACCAGAGGAGCTTTTAAAAATCTTTCTGAGAGAGTTTTGCTATAGGACATGTATGCTCACCAGAGACTGGGAGAAACAGAGACAGAAAGCAAGAAATCACGCCCCGGGGGGGAGGTGGTGGTGGCAGGGATGGCCATGCCGCAGCCCCTTCTCTTCCATTCTCTTCTTGGAATTTTGGACACACACACATCTAGTGTGAGTTTCAAGTCACCAAGTCTGGGACTAGAACCATGGTTGGCCATGTGGAAATCCAGTGCCTACCCACTACGCCACCTGCTGGCCCCAGAGGAGCTTTTTTAAAAGGTGCCTTTTGGGAACAGACGACGGCACAGTGGTAATACAACAGGACCCCCATGCAAAAGGTCCGAGTTTTGTGTCTCACAACCTTCCTGAGCACACTGGGCGCCCGTGATCTGTGGTCGGCTGAGACTGGAGGTGAGCCATGACGTGAAGACCCCATTGGGTGCTTGTCCCCTTATTTCGCCCTCCCCACACACTCTCAAGAAATAAATGAATAAACTTGGGACCAGCAAATGGCATAATGGTTATGTCGCTGGTCACATAGTCAACCATGGTTTGAGTCCCGGACCTGGCAGTTTAAAACTCATGCTGGGTGCATGTGCATGCCCAGAATCACGGGAAGGGAATGGAGGAGAAGGAATTGCAGTGTGTCCATCCCCCCAGGGGGTGATTTCTCAATTTCTATCTCTCTGGCGAGCGCACGTGCCCTATATAAAAAAAACTCTCTCTCAAAAAAAAAATAAATAAATAAGGAAAGGAAAAAGGAAGAAGTGAATAAATGTTTTGAAAAGGTGATTTCCTACCACTCCTCTGCTTAAAATCTCGCAGTGGCTTCCCAGTGTGTTTGGGAAAAGGCCCAGCCCACTAGAAGCTAAGTCCACGCCTGGCCCAGCCTTCCCTTTAGTCTCTTTGGTTTAGCAGCTGCAAGGCCAGCAGTGACCCCCAGCCACCCACCCTTCCACTCCCCTCGCTGCCTCCTGCACACAGCCTTGGCTTCAGCCCTGCCCTGCCTGGCACCCTCCTCCAACTCTTCTGCTTAAACGTCACCACCTCAGAGAAGCCTTCCCTGGACGCTCTGCCTAAACTGCGTCTCTGTTGAGAGGGTCTCTTTTGGTGGCTGTTGGGGGGAGCTGGGGAAGAAGGGTCTAATGGGAGAGATAACTGAGGAAGCAGGATCAGGAGGCTGGCTGATGGTGGGCGGGGAGATGGCAGATTCGGTGGGGGGCCCCTGTCTGGGTGGGGCAGCTGGGTAGATGGGGGAGCCATACTTGGAAATGTGGAACCCAGGAGGGGAAGGGAAAAGTTGCCTGCGTCTCACGGGGTGCTCAGATGCGGGGGGTGGCCTCAGTCGCCTGCAGATGCTGGAGTGTAGACTGAGACGCAGCCACTAGGGCCTCTGGATCCTGGGCCGAACCATGACAGGAGCTGAGTTTATCTGGGCAGATGTGTAGCAGGCAGAGGTTGAGTCAGGATGGTCAGAGGGAAGAGGCCCACCAGGAGGTGGTGGTCCTGGGAGCTGAATGAAGACCCCTTGGAGGATCACACAAAGCCAGTCTGGGGGGCCGAAGGCTCACGGGAGCCGGAGTGTTGGGTGTCCTTGCCTTTCTCCTCCAACTCCCAGAACTTCCAAAATGCAGCATTTGGCCACTGTGTGGGCTCTGCAAGGGCCACTGTTGCTGGGAAGGTGACTTTGGGGCAGGCTGGGGGCAGGGGTGGCCCCACCTGGGTGGGGTGGTCAGCAGGCCCTGGGCGTCCAGCCTCTGGGAGTCAGCCCATGCCAGGAGCCATCTCCCCCACCGTGCCTTGCAGGGATTGGGGCCGGGCGGCGCCATCGTGGCTGGCCGGTAGCTGGTGGGCGCCATAGTGGCTCCTTGGCAATACCTGCCAGCCTTCCTAGGGACTGGGGCTACCCTGTGCGGAGGGCTTAGGGAACAGGTATTTATGTCAAGAAATATTTTCCTGGGGAACCAGAAGTTAGCGTAATGGCTATGTCGCTGGACTCCCACGTAGTCGACCGCGGTTCGTGTCCCGGACCCGGTGGCTTAAAACTCACGCCGGGCACGTGTGCGTGCGTGCCCAAGATCCCGAGAGGAGAATGGAGGAGAAGGGATTGCAGCGTGACCATCCCCCCTGGGGGGTGATTTCTCGCTTTCTGTCTCTCTGTCTCTCTCTGTCTGTGTGGCGAGCGCACGCGCCCTACAGTGAAAATCTCTCTCAAAAAAAAAAAAGAAATATTTTCCTATTTTAATAGCAAGCCGTTAAAGGATTAAACCCTGTTTGATCAAACATCTGTTTCTCCGGCAATCTCTTCCTATCTCCTGTTCTTGCTTTGTGGGTGATTAGACCTCGGAACTCCCGATTTAATCTTTTGGTTTTCGTAACAGTTTGTTCCTACCCTATATCTTCTTGTCTTTTTGTTCTACTTCCTGGAGGATTTCTTTACTTTTATCTGAGCCTCCACCCAGCCTTCTCCCAGCAGGGGCCGGGCAAGTCGCTCTGATGTACCAGACAGAGGGTGGAGGGACATCCTGACGCCTGCCCCCACCCCACCCCGAGACCCCCTGGCCAGGCCCTCTCCTGGGGCAGGCACTGTCTCCAGGTGCAGCTGTGTCTGTGTGCTTTGTGTCTTTGGGCTCCCTGATGTTGGGCATCTTATCCTGGTTTGGGAGCAGATGGGGCCAGAAGGAGTCTGGTCCTGGTTCCCAGTAGCCTGGGCTTCAGATTTCCCATCTGTCTAGCGGGAGGATTTGGATGGAGAGATCTTCCAGCCTGCCCCGTCAGGCCCTGGGTCCTGCCCTGGGTGGGTCTCCCACCTCGCTGTTCCGTTCCTAGGAAGAGAGGGATCGCCCTCCCGGCCGACACAGTAGAGGAACTGCAGACTGTCATTGGCATGGACAAGCCGCTCACCCTGCCGGGCTTCCTGGCCAAATTCAGCTACTACATGCCTGCCATCGCGTGAGTTGTCCCTCCCCTCTGGTCCTGGGGCAGCCTCAATCCCTGTAACCAGGCCCAGGCCTGTCTCAGCCCGTGGGGGTTGCTCTGCTCCTCCCCTCTGTGTGAACTAGAGCAAGTTTCCAATGCCCAAAAGCCTCAGTTTGCCCTTCTGAAAGCTGGGTGTGATGTACCGACATTCCTTCCATGTCTATAGAGAAGTGCTAGAAGATGAGAACTAAGAACACAGATCTGAGTATCAAACTCTTTCATGAAATAACATGACATTGGGGCCAGCAGATGGCATGGGGGTTAAGACGCTGGACTCCTACATGGCTGGTCATGGTTCGAGTCTCAGTCTTGGGAACTTCAAATCACACCAGAGAGACCAGCGGATGGCGTAATGGATGCTTATGTCACTGAACTCCCATTTTGTCAACTGTGGTTCAAGTCCCAGGCCGGGAGGCTTAAAACTCATGCTGGGGGACATATATGTGTGTGCCCAAGGTCCCAAGAGGAAAATGGAGGAAAAGGGATTGCAACGTAGCCATACTTTCTGGGGGTGATTTCTCACTTTCTGTCTCTCTGTCTCTCCAGTAAGCACATGTGCCCGATAGCAAAAATCTCACTCTCTTAAAACAAACAAAAGTAAACAAGATCACTGTGGGCACATGTGTGCATGCCCAAAACCCTGAGAGGAAAACGGAGGAGAAGGGATTGCAGTGGCTACACCCCAGTGGGGTGCTTTCTCTCTCTCCTTCTCTCTCTCTGGCAAGTGCATGTGCCCTGTGGCAAATTATTACCCCAAACAAAACCAAGTGTTGTGCTGCAAGCACAGGCCTAAGTGAAGTTGTTGCAGTTTGAGGTATTTGCCCCCCAGTAGCCTTTAGCTGTAGGTATCAGAGAGGGTGGCTGCCTAGCTGGGCTCACACAGCAGGCCAGGGTGGGGAGGAGGATTCAAGGCCATTTCTGAGTCCCAGGTGTTTCCCCCAGTCCAGAGCCCCCGTGGATTCGCCCATCTGTTCTCATCTTCCCTCTTCCCTGCACACACCATTCAGGAAATATGTGACTAGTGTGTCCCAGGCACCGTCCTCAGCTGAGAGGTCACAGCTGTAATGGGACAGTCCCCTCTTGGAAGCTTCGTCCTAGTAGGAGAGGTGGAAAGTTGGCTAGGAAGGAAGCCATAGGGCACGGAGGGACTGAAAAATGTGTGGGAAGTGGAATAAAAGTCTGAATTTGTTTGCTTCTTTATTTTTGAAGAGAGGTTTTTGCTATAGGGCGTGTGTGATAGCTGGAAAGGCAGAGAGAGACAGAAAGCAAGAAATCACCCCCGAGGGGGGTGGCCACGCCGCAATCCCTTCTCCTCTTGGGATTTTGGGCACACACACGCATACACCCAGCACGATTTTAAGCCGCAGGGTCCAGGACTTGAACCGCGATTGATTACGTGGGAGTCCAGCAACGTAACCATTACGCCATCTGCTGGTCCCAAGTCTGAGTTTATTTTGATGCAAAAACATTTTGAAGCCCACGCATAGCTGTTTCATGATGTGCTGCCCCATGAACTTTCTGAAGACCGTCTTGTTCATGGTGTTGAGGCCACAGAGGTCAATAAAGTGCTAGGCGAGGGATGGGGAGTGGAGGGGGGCTGTCCTCAGATAGGCAGTTTGGGCGGGGCCTCTCTGAGGAGGTGAGGCTGAGCTGGGCCCTGGAGGGAGGGTGGGAGACGGGGAAGGACTTCTGGGGGAAGAGCCTGCCTGCAGGGGGTGGGAACGAGCCTGACTGTCCTTGGCAGAAAGATGGCCCAGGTTCCCTCAGAGAATAGTGAGGAGAAAGATGCTGGGGAGGAGGACTCAGGGCTCGGGCCTAAGGCCTACCACCTTCGTGATGGGAAGCCCTGCGGCTCAGAGGGCAGGTGTTGAAGACGGCTCCAGCTGCTGCCGTGTGGACAGTTACGAGGCAGGCACAGGACAGGCAGCCAGGCGAGGTGACTTTTCAGGGGGTTGGAGGGCGGGAACTGACACGTGAATTGGAGGCAGAGCTGTCGTGATGTGCCTCAGCTCTGTCATCTTCTCCAGCAGAGGCCCGGAGCTGGGGGCTGGCAGGCGAGGGGCCAGGGCCAGGGCCAGAGTGGGTTTGAGCTGCCAAGGACGGGGCAGCCTCCTTTGTTCCTGCAGCTCCTCAGGGACCTGGGGAAGGCTGTGCCCAACCCTCGTTCCCTCCCCAGGGGCTGCCGGGAGGCCATCCGAAGGGTGGCCTATGAGTTCCTGGAGACGAAGGCCAAGGAGCGCGTGGCGTACGTGGAGGTACGCTACAGCCCGCACCTGCTGGCCAACGCCAAGGTGGAGCCCATCTTCTGGAACCAGGCCGAGTGAGTAGGGCCCTGGGGAGCTGTGCTGGAGAGGGGGCGGCCCAACCCTGAGCCCGGAGGGCAGGCTGTGGGTCTCAGACCCCAACCCAAGCAAGACCTTGGCCTCTCAACCCCCATCTAGTCTGTGGCCTCAGGCAGATGCACTTGACTACGACCAAGAGATTCCCACCCCTCACCTGGGTCCCATTTCCACCTTGGGCAGAAGCCTTGGGCTGTGCCTTGTAACCCGTAGCTCTGGACATGGGGCTGCCATCCAGGGGTGTTACTTACTTAGCCCGTGACTTCCAGGGGTCCCGCCTGAACCCTGTAAGTAAAGTGAGTTTGACCCGTTTGTGCCCCCAGTGAGTGGTACCACTGCGCCCCACTTCTGAGCACAATTCTGACACACTGGAGAGCAGGAACAGCAGGCAGGACCCTCCATGGGGGTGGGAGGGCAGTGTCTACACCACCACACACCTCCCTCTGGGATCCGCTCTAAGTCAGCTGGAAGGGGTGTTCTAGGCTTGGGGCCGCCCCTGGCAGTCTTTCCGCAGAGGAAGTGGGTCACTGGGGTGGGGAGTTGCACTCCAGGGCCGGCTTTTAGGCGCCCCTTTGCCTCAGGCCCACTCTCACTCCTTTTTCCACACAGAGGGGACCTCACCCCGGATGAGGTAGTGGCCCTGGTGTGCCAGGGCTTGCAGGAGGGGGAGTCCGCCTTTGGGATCAAGGCCCGGTCCATCCTGTGCTGCATGCGCGACCAGCCCCGTAAGTCAGATGGTGGCCTGCCCTCGCTGCCCACCTGGCCCGACCCGCCCGGGCCTGGCCTGGCTGAGCCGGGTCCATCCCCTGCACCTCACCCCGATATCCTCTCAAGCCTGAGAGCAGGACCTTGGGACACCTCGAAGTCACCAGAGCTTCCTAGGCAGAATCAGAACTCCCTACCCGCGTGCTTCTCCCCTGCCAGCATGCTTCTCCCCTGCCAGCATGCTTCTCCCCAGGGAGCCTGGGCCACAGTCACGTGACCTGCAGGAAGCTCATATCCAAAGAAGGCTGAAAAATGGAGACAAACAAGATCTGAGCCAGCTTCTGACCAGCCCGAGGGCTTCCCTTGAGACCGTGTGGGCCAGTCCTCCCCTGCCTGGGCCCAGAGGCTGTGACAGCTTTCATTTCTGAGGTTCTTGGGGCCTTCTGTCGCCAGTGCTAACCAAACTCCTAAGGCTTGAGCGTCCTGGTTAGGAGCTGCGTCACGTGACCTGGGCCACCCCTCCGGCTCCAATTTGCGTGGACACGTGACGACTGTGCTTGCTGCCTCCTCTCCTGCAGGAGCAGTGAGCAGCACAGCCAGGGGCCAGCCCGACTGCAGGGCCCACTGCGCGGGGCTGGTGTGCATTTTCCCTGCCCTCGCAGCGGCCCGGGGGAGAGGTACCCGGCGAGGAAGCTGAGGCCGAGAGCTGTGAAGCCTCTCGCCCCTCAGTCGGGGAGGCCCAGGCCCTGGCTGGAATCTAGGTCCCAACGTCTTGCTCATTCACGTTTCCTAAGCTCTAACGACATCACTGGCTACGGCTACGAGGTCCCCGCACGTCAGTGGCACGCTCAGACTCCAGCCTGAGCTGTTCCCTGTCGCATGTTGACTGGGTGCCCATTTCATGGTCGGCTAGGTGGGGAGAGCCCTGAGAACCTCGCATTGTCATCTCCCGATCGCGGGCCCTGCCCTGGGCACTTCCCACATCTGGCCTGGGCCAGCCTTCCCATGGCCCTGGGCAGCGGCTGGTGGTGCTCCCTCTGAGATGGGGGAAACTGAGGCACTGGGCAGAGCAGTTTGCCAAATGCCACGTGCCCAGGACACGGCAGCCAGGGCCTGAAGGAAAGATGCTGGACCCACACCTGA